TAACAAGAAACAAAAGCAGAAATGTCAGATTTCACCATACCAGCAGAAATGCAGAATAATAGATAGAATCATAAGCCCTTAATCCCCTTCTTAATTGCTAAAGCAAAGTTAGAGAACCATTTTGTTGCAAGAAATTTCTGCATGTGCTGTTCTGCTCTGCTAGTACTCTTGAGCTGGACCTTGCGGAAACCACATGAAAAGCTATCCCTTGATGTGTGAAATTCCCGAGCTTTCGAGTAAAAAGCAAAGGAACCAGGAAGCTGTCGAGCAAAAATGCTCTTCTGAATGCTATATGCTCCCTGCGACTGTAACCCAGAAAAAATATGTTTTAGCTTTTCAATCAGTGGAAGAGGAAGGGAAGTTTCAACACATCATGATATGTGACAGCACTTCATGAGATGAAAGTATGTTCACCTAAACATAAACATGCATGGTATTTAAAGACCACTCTTCCTTACATACTTCATCACATCTAACTAGCAAGAAGATAACTTGCATGGTCTTTGAAAATCAGTCATCCTTACATATGCATGAAGATAACTGCGAAGTCGTGCAGAAGGCAGCATGGCATGTTTCATACCACGATCTGCATTGTCAAGAAGCAATAACTAGTTTAGCGAATGAGTTCTCACAATTACTTCTATTTTATAGAATAGAAATTCTTAAAGTGAAAGTGATTGAGCCAGGGGTTAATCACCTTGGATGACGTGAATGGAATTCTCTCTCTCATCCAAGACCACTTTTACTGAAGTTCTGCAACACAAAAGTAGAAAAAAAAAAATCATAGCAAGAATGAAACACTATGCCCAACTTACTTACATATCAAAAGCATTTAATTTAAAAAACCATGCTTTTGTGGAGGTGCTTGCAGTTTAATTTGGATTAAGTGAACAGCACAAATCATAAGGCTTCAGAAATTCGTAATGTTCAAAATTTAAAATGCTCTTTGAGATCAGCTTTACAGGGTGATGGAAGGTTAATGTCAAAAGCATGAATTTGAGGCTTTATACAGCTCCATGTGACTAATTCAAGCTAGTTTACAGACAAGACAAAGAGACCATTGGTATTTTTAATATTTGAAAATAAGACAGGAGACTTATTGGTATAGTGACAGGAGATTTGTTGGTATAGTGAACTTCTAAGTGTAATATGACTTTCTAGACCTGTTGATAAACAATAATTTCTTAAATGATGCCCTTCTAATCGCATATATACTTTGACATTTTCAGTGCTGATTAGGTGCTTATTTGACTTATGTGGGATATTAGTACTTAGGTTACTTGTGTTTATTTCTCCCGTCTCTATCCTTCGTATTTTATGAATTCCTATTAACTGTGTACTTCATATGCCAATGGATGCTTAGAAAGCCTGTAGTCAGGAAGTTAAACGATGAACAGAGTGCAGCTTTGGCACGGTTCATTCATGGTAAAAGACGCTACTCTTCTGCTGTGCCACCATTTCACAGGGTAGTTGTGCATGGTGATCCCTTTGCTGGAGTTAAAGCAGTGAAAGGAACCGCCGGAAGGGTGCAGCCGATGAGGAACTTAATGAGGTGGACTGCTAATGAGTTGGTTACGAAGAGAATCATTAGGAGGATAAGAGGTGTTTAATCGACGAAATCTTGACTCGGCAATGGTGACAGGAATGGCTTGATCCGCATTTTGTTTTTGTTCCATGTGGACAACTTCGCCCAAGGAACTGAAGAATAGTAACTTTGTGGTCAGATTTAAGTTTACTAATCTTGTTTGCTTCTGCAGTATATCTTGATTCATCGCCGGTTAAGCTGTGTTGTTATTCTCTCCCTGGATCAGATTCAAATAGCCAAGAAATCTTTTTTATGTTTGACATATAAGAGATACATGGGCTCGCTTTGGTTGGTTTTGAAGCCTTGTAGTGCACAGTTATTGTGAGAAAAACGGAACGAATGCTGCAGAAGAAAATCAGCAATTTTAAACAATAACTACTCTATTGCAGGACATTGGACGGGGGTTCTAGACTGAAAGCTGAAGTCTTTGTATTCTCTTGTACTTTTTCTCAATGGACCGCTTGAGTCCAATAATTTACAGTCGTTAGCTGGGAATTTGGTCTTTCATAAAAAAAGTTGTAAGGAATTTTCTAATTGTTATCAACGGGCACTTGTTAATACATTTGAATTCCACTCGATAAATATATGCAATCATAATTATTGTGATAATTATTGCTCTCTCTCTCTCTCTCTATAAAGGTGATTACACTGTGTTCACCAAAAAATACTTTACATTTTCGCTTGTTTTGATAATATAATGTTGCAGGCACTAATTACTAACTATAATTGCCTTACCTTGTGACTAAAACATCTGCAAGGTGATTTTTCAGAAAATAATTGATAAAGGCATTATTAGTTGAATAATTACATTGGACATGTTTTTAGATGTAAAGCAAACTATGGTTAAATATCTCATTTCAAAATCCACGCATTGTGAGCATTTTTTTCATTGGTTATTATATGCTTTTACATATAACTAGAAAAATCCACATGCTCGTTACAAACTATACGTAATAGAAAAACAAAAAACATAAATAAAACATACATTTTGGTCTTGAATGTTGTTACAACAAATGTTCATGTAGATAAAAACTTGTCTAAGTGACCATATAAGGGGGAAGGGATGGGATAGATGGTATCGGGGAAGGAGTGTAAGTGAAAAGTCTTACTAATTATGATACAATAACATTATTAGTTATGTGGCCTTACATTTATGCATAATAAATTCTTGTTTTGCATTCCTTGAATTTCTTTTTGGAATAGTTGTTAGAAAATCTAATTAGAATGCAGCGCCTCTTAATTCCATGAGGTTCTTTTCCTTCTTCCTCTTGGGGTGATCGTCATCTGAGTCACCCTCATAAGACGAGGAAGAGGACTCTTCAGGCTGTTTTCGAGAAGACTCAGCCCTATCCTTACCTTTCATATGCCTGACAATCTCTTCAAAGAGCTCTGGACCTCTACATGAGGTTGTGAGTTCTTGGGGATGTCCTGATCCCTTAGATCGGCTGTACAATCTCCGGAAGTTTGGGGGTTCTGATTTCCACGATTAGAGCGAGTCTTAGCTATTACAGAGTAGAGCAGCTATATTCACTTCGTTCCCACAGACGACGTCAATTGTAGAGTCACGATTAAAACTCGCGAGAAGACTGGAGATTGGCAAACTCTAATTCGGGTTTCCTATATGAGATCAAGAGCAAAGGCGAGGCTATTCCTCCGATTTGACTTTGATACTTAAGTTAGCAAGAGTTGATAGTTTGGGAGCAAGAGTTGATAGTTTGGGAATAAATTACCGAACAGGAGGGCTAAGAAGCAATTGCCTCTAGGGTTCAGGAAGAGGGATATTTATAGTAGAACTTGAGAAGCATCCTTGAGGTTCGAACCGCATTGATGAGATAGAATGCGGCGATAGATCAGTTATAGGTCTACTGTTGCAGGAGCATAGGCCTGCAAAAGATGGATGTTATCGAGAGAAGAAATGTAAGCGAGAGGTCCCAAATTTGAAACCTCCCACTTATACTAAAAAAAGAAAAAGCTACTAAACAATAACATTATTAGTTAAGTGGCCTTATGTTTATGCATAATTATAAATTCTTGTTTTGCATTCCTCAAATTTCTTTTTGGAATAGTGGTTAGAAAATCTAAAGTTTTTCAATTGAAGAATGAAAATATTTAAAATTTACTTCTGGGCACATATCTCAATCAACTCAAGTTTATGCATGTAAAAACATACTACCTCTTGTATTATCATTTTAAGTACCCCTAACGAAATGAATGATGTTTAAATAGAGTATTATTTAAAATAACTATTGTAGCACTTTTTGCGATGTGATGTATATAAGATATAAAGATAGTTAAAAATATAAAAAGATGGGTTAGAAAATATGTTTATAATGTAAGTGAAATATTATTTGAAAAATTTTGTTATCCATTCATGTCTCTAAAATTGTTGGTAACATAGTTGGATTTGACAAGAATCAAGTACTTTGGATTTGCCTTAAAGAGGGCGGGATGGGATGAATGGTATCTGGGAAAGAAATGTAAGTGAGAGGTTCCGAATTCGAAACCTCCTACTTAAACTAAAAAAAAAAAAGGCTACTATACAATAACATTATTAGTTAAGTGGCCTTACGTTTATGCATAATTATAAATTCTTGTTTTGAATTCCCCAAAATTCTTTTTGGAATAGTTGTTAGAAATATACTACATATCTCAATCAACTCAAGTTTATGCATGTAAAAACATACTACATCTTGTGTTATCATTTTAAGTACCCCTATCGAAATGAATGATGTTTGAATAGAGTATTATTTGAAATAATTATTGTAGTATTTTTTGTGATGTGATGTATATGAGATAAAAAAGTAGTTAGAAATATAAAAAGGTAAATTGAAAAATATATTTATAATACAAGCGAAATATTATTTGAAAAAATTTGTTATCCATTCATGTCGTTGGTAACATAATTGGATTTGAAAAGAATCAAATACTCTGGATTCACCTTAATAAATTGTACTCTAGATGCTAGTCATAATAGCTCCTATTAAAAATTATTTTCAATTAATGAGAGAAAGGAATACATTATACACACATTTCTACTTGAAATAATTGAGAGCTATCTTATATATTGATAATGACTGAATGGAGTTTAAACTTTGATAGCCAAAAAACCAAAAGAAAAACGAATTATTGTTAAAAAGGAAAAGAGATCCTTGATGGCTCCAACAATGTATTTATAATGCTGTTCAATTTGTCTGTTTTCTTTCTCGCAATACTGGATTAGAATGCCTTCTTTAACCCCATCATATGTGGTGCCGTAGCTACATCATATAATTTGGACACATTAGAAAATTTCAAAACTTCTTATTTACTTCAAAATGCATGGGTAGAAAGCACAATTAGCTGAAGCCTTAAGGACTGTTACAGCAATTTGTTCTTCTATACAAGATACCCTCATGTTGCCGCTTTTCTTGTAAACGAACCTGACAAAACTGGCGGCGGTCTGCGGCGGTGGAAGAACCATGGCTACTGAGAAAAACCCTAAGTTAGATTCTTCCAAAGAAGGCGAGTCAATTAAGAAGAAACGACATCGTAAGAGAGGCAAGAAATCGAAGCAGTCACCATCTTTACTCCCAGAACGACCTACTGAAGCTACTGAAGCTGAAGAACAAGAAGAAGAAGCTACAGAGAATGATGATAAATCTGAGAAAATAACTAATAAGGAGAAGAAGAAGAAGTTGAAGAGGCCAAGAGAAGATAATGAGGACGACAATGCAGGAGGCGGAGAAGAAGAAGGAGAAAAAGAAGAAGTGGAGGAGATTATGAAAGTGGTGAAGAATATGGGGACGGGGTCGGGAATCATGAGCACGGAGGCGTTCTCGTTGTTGCCGATTTCAGAAAATACTATGAAAGCTATTAAAGAGATGAATTTCGAATTTATGACCCAGGTAAAATAACTTTCTTGCAATTCTTAGTGCTTATGAAGTTTAGGTTTTGTATATTAAGCAGATAGTTGTTGGATGGATTATTTTGCATTTAGTTCAGCTATTTCTAGTGAATTGAACTATTGAGTGTGCCATGAGGTTTATATTATAATTGAAATTGTGAAATTTGGTGGTTTAATCCATAACTGTATCTTTTTTGGGCATGATGAGCTTTGAGTGTGTGATTAGAGTTTACTACGTTTCGGCCTTTTTCCCTTTTTTTTTTTAAAAATATGTATTGAGACAGTTCAAGTCTTTCATGCTTCGAGCAAATTCGGGGTAGAAATAGGGTCATTTGTATGTTGGTATCTAATTGATATAGTCCAGAAGTAAACTGGTGCAGATTAAATGAATTTAAGAGAACGGCATGAAGTTTAAGCCTTCCATTAGGATATATATATCCTATGAGAAATGTGCAAATTTTGTTATTGTGTGAGGACACAATTTAAGCAAATCCAGTACACTTGTTATAACTTATCAAGTTCCAATGACTTTGAAATTCATGATGTAATCAATAGGAATTTCTTTGTAATGTTTCTGCACGCTAATATTTTTTTCTTATGATTGAAGATCCAAGCCAGAGCAATTCCACCACTTCTTGAGGGTGAAGATGTACTTGGAGCTGCAAGGACGGGTTCTGGTAAAACACTTGCTTTTCTGATACCAGCTGTGGAGTTGCTACATCAAATTCAGTTTACAGCTCGGAATGGTACTGGTGTTGTTGTCATTTGTCCAACAAGGGAGCTGGCCATACAGGTACAGACTTTCTTGCTCTTGTTCAATGGCCAGGCAAAATGATTTTGCCTCTCTTATTTTATAAAACCTCTGTTAAACGTCATCAGGAATGTCCCACAGCTTTCTTAATATCCAGCTGCTACCCTACTTGTTTGGGAAAGAAGATGCAGAAAATGTAGATGCATTTTCTCTCTGAACCTTAAGTGGTGTTTCTCGTCTATTTTGGTTGCTTTGAGTAAGTGTAGCCATAGCTGACTCTGTTGTAGCTATCAGAGATAATTGCTGTATTATATGTTTACTGGAGCAACTGATATAAAGTTTTGGTACTAGTTATCTCAGGTAGCAATATGAGACACTTTATTGTTGCAGTGCATCTATGTAAGCCTAGACAATTGAATTTGCCAGATATTCCACTGCTACTTCTGCAATGCATGGAATAACAAACTTGAGAGTCCTGTGCACATTGATCTTCCTCTACTGATGCCCTATCTAGAATAGAACAACATCTTAATATGGAGTTGTACTGTATGGGGTTGTACTGTATGTTAGTGACCAACTGAACCCTGGATCACATGGGTCTGACTTTAAGCATCAATTAATTGATTTTTTATTCAATAATGCAGACGCATGCTGTAGCAAAAGTTCTGCTTAAGTATCACTCGCAGACTCTTGGCTTAGTTATTGGTGGTGTGGCACGACGTGGAGAGGCTGAGCGTATTGTGAAAGGAGTAAATCTCTTAGTAGCTACACCTGGTCGTCTTCTTGACCATCTCCAAAATACCAAGGGGTTTATTTATAAAAACTTGAAGGTAAATTTACGTTATTTTGACTTTATGATCTATGATTTTCAAATTTTTTTTTTTACATAAATCCAATTATGAGCAGTTACATGGATGCTGCCTGAAATGAAGTGGGAAGGGAACTTGTTGAACTCTCTTGTGCAGGATTTAACCTATTAAAATTGTGAAAACATTTCGCTTTTGGTGTTAATGTCTGAAAGGATTTTTCCATTCAACTGGACCTATAGACAAGCCTGAAGATTAATACTATTTAATCAAATAATTTCCTTAGTTGTGTAGTTTGTAAACATCCAGAAAGTTTGACTAAAGATGGATCATTTTTTTTTTATTGAATGATGTGAATTGATCATTTTGGTGCAGTCAATTTGGTCATTTTTAGACCTGTTGAAGTTTCTTTTCTGCTAATTCAGCAGAGTTGGATATGTGTCTACAGCTGCCAAAAAAAAGAAAAAAAGTATATGGCTGCATATTGCCTGGTCTTTTTTCCACAACCCAGGTTCCTGAATCTCCTGATTAATTGGTGGCTTGAATCTCTTTGGAGATGAAGTGCTTTACTTAGGAGTTCTGAGCTAAAAGCTTATAATACAAAACCCAAAGAAAGCATGATTCTAGGTGTTTGCATCAATCGAAAGAGCCTGAGCTAGTTGGATTATTATTTTTTTTTAATTTCCTCTTTTTCCTGACATGTTTCTTTCTTTGGAATATATATGTAATCTGTTAAAGAAGTCAGGGAAATGCTAATAAATGTTCTCCAATGTCAGAGCTGGATGATAAGACGACTATTACATTATGTTGACAATTTCAAAAAACTGTTAATACTATGATCATAGTATGATGGCTGTTGCGCAAGTAGGCCTCCATCGTCTAGTGGTTGAGGACATCTCTCTTTCAAGGAGGCAGCGGGGATTCGACTTCCCTTGGGGGTAGGGTACTACGAAAGGAAATTAATCATGGATTATCAATAAGTCTAAAAGTGATTCTTCCTGGGCCAATGCCCAAGTGGTTAATGGGGACGGACTGTAAATTCGTTGGCAATATGTCTACGCTGGTTCAAATCCGCTCAGCCCAATAATTCGACCAATTTGCCAATCCATCGATCACGAGAGGATATAACCCCCTATCTTTCATAAAGACTTGATGGGGAGATCAAAAGAACAAAAATCTCTGCAAGATCCCTTTTTTCGCTGGGATTGTAGTTCAATTGGTCAAAGCACCGCACTGTCAAGGCGAAAGCTGTGGGTTTGAGAAGTGCCTCTCTAAACAATTCTCTTCATCACTTAGGCTGCACTATGATACCGACATATATAGGATTCCAATATGAATTCATCGTCAACTTGTCTAAATTTGGAAAGATGTATCTGTCAACAAACTAAGATTAAATCTCCTGTGTTAGATACTATGTTGACTGTTGCGATACTGCACTCAAAACATGCAACAAGCTCTAATAACTTGTATAGCATATTCTCTGTCATCAGAATGCTATTAGCTGCATTTCCTAGCTTCTCTGAGGAAGAAAGCTGCCGGATGAGAGTACTTGCTTCTTAACTGCAATTTTGAAAAATAGAAGGCATCATCAAAGCCATTTTTCAGAAGACCTTTGCTGGATTATCTTTGGAATGGTGACTGTATTGTGCTGCCAACCTAGTGATGTACAGCATTATTTTGATCTTCAAATTCACATCTTTAAGTTTTTTTTTTTAATTCTGCCATGTATAGCATCTATTTGAATGAAAGGCCTCACATATTTACTATACTCTTATTTGTATGTTGATTATTTCTACTGGATTCAGATCAAGTTTCTCATTCTTTGGAAGATAGATTGACATATTTTCACATTTTGATTGAATGGAATGCTTGCAGTGCCTCATGATTGATGAAGCTGATAGGATACTTGAAGCAAATTTTGAGGAAGAAATGAGGCAAATCATTAAAATTTTGCCTAAGGTACGATTTGGTTGTAATTACGATAGTATATACAGTGCAGATATCCAATTTCAATTTCTTCCTTTGACTGCTTTTCATTGTCGATTATCCTGTGATTTGTATTTTGGTTCTGGTTTAGTTTGGAAGGTGACACAGTCTTTATTCATTTGCACCTCATATATCAGTAGTTTTGTCTTTTCATTTGTCATGAGGATTAGAGCAAATTTTCTGTGATTTTCTTGCTCCATTTTTTCCCCTTGTTTCCTATGTTTTGAGTTGCAAATTCTTTTATACGTTTGCTGAGTTGTCCACATGTTTTTTGCATTTTTGGATGACTTTAACTCATATTGGTGAATAATGGTCTATGTAAATGTCTTAGAAAAGACATCTTGGGTGAGTTGCCATTTGTTAACCCATACATAAATGTGTATCGAAGTTGTTCCTATATTTAGGCACATAACTAGAATTTAATTGCTGTCTCAGAGTTGCTTTAAATGTTTTGTACTGGTTGGTGCTATATTGCAGTATGACTTTTTTCTGTGAGTGCATTTAGGCATAATTGTTTTGTTATTGGCATTGTGCATTGAATTTGTACTAACGAGGCACCGCCTGATGTGCAGACGAGACAAACAGCTCTTTTTTCTGCCACCCAAACGAAAAAGGTAGGTGTTTTCTGCTCCTTTTGTTTTCTTGGTACAATATTGACTAGGAAGAGACCTGTAGTTCCTGTATTTTCATTGGACTTCATAGAGAAGTTATGCTACCATTTCAGGTTGAGGATCTTGCTCGCTTGTCATTTCAGAAAACTCCAGTCTACATCGATGTGGATGATGGACGAAGAAGGGTAACTGGGTTATATATTCCTTTGTTAGTACTTGTGGGCAATGTTGGTTTTTAGTCTTCATTTAAGATGTTGGATACTTTAGGTCACCAATGAGGGGCTGGAACAAGGGTTCTGTGTTGTCGAAAGTGCCAAGAGATTTTTACTACTGTACTCCTTTTTGAAGAAGAATCTGACGAAGAAAGTGATGGTTTTCTTCTCCACTCGTGATTCCGTTAAATTCCATTCTGCGCTTCTGAGATACATACAGATAGACTGTCTTGATATCTATGGAAAGCAAAAGCAGGAAAAACGAACATCTAGCTTTTTGGAATTTTGCAAAGCCGAAAAAGGCATCTTGTTATGTACAGATGTTGGTGCACGAGGTCTTGATATACCCGCTGTGGTATGTCCTCGAACTAGTTCTTTTTTATCCTCGTAAAGCATTTAGCATGAATTGGTTCTAAGGGTGTTGAATACTGAAATGTTGTTTTGATATGTCATTAGAAAATATAGATACCCTAGAACTAGATTCATCATTCCTTTCCCTTATGTTTCACAGGATTGGATCGTGCAGTATGACCCCCCTGATGAACCTAAGGTGCAGATAATTCATCCTTCTTGTAACTTTCTTGGTGTCAGAATTGCCAGCACCCAACTTTAGATGACGTGCTTATTCTCATGCTTCTTCATGTTATCCCTCTCAGGAGTATATTCACCGGGTTGGTAGGACTGCACGTGGGGAAGGTGCAAAGGGGAATGCCCTACTTTTCCTGATGCCGGAAGAGCTAAAGTTTCTTACCTATCTGAAGGTATGTTCTCCTGTTGCTAATAACTCAAAACAGGAAGTGCTATAAATGGTTAAAGAAAGTAGGAATGCTAAAGCCATCATCATACCAATAGATCATGACTTTTCACATTGGGACATGTTGAGAACCTAAGAATCTTAAGCAAGGCTGTCCATTTTGATAAATCCTTTTTCTATACCTAAGAGAAAAATCATTGGACCTTTCTCAGACAGTTTGAGTTTCATTAGTAATTTTCTTAAGGAAGTAGAGAGATTAGATTGGGTAGAAGATGAGGGGGGATCTTTGTTGCCACAGGGTAGTTTCTTTGTGATTGTGTTATAGAAGCGAAAAGTTTCTTAGACAAGTCTCTTCAAAATCTACCAGTAGGTTGTGAAAGGCTGCATGGGAAGCAAATAAACTATATTAATTGGCGCTTTAGATTTTCTTCTATGCTGTAATATACTATAATTTATCTAAACGCTTTTTATGTCAATAATTTCAGGCTGCTAAGATACCTGTCAAAGAATATGAATTCAATAACAAGAAATTGGCAAATGTGCAGTCTCGCCTGGTAATTCTTCTCTGCAAGCTTTTATTTTCTTTCAGTATCTGAGTTATTATTGGATTGCAGAGTTATTTCCTTGAGCTCACCTTAATAGTAATGGGTTTGATGCAGGTAGAGCTGGTCTCTAATAACTATTATTTGAACAAGTCTGCTAAAGAGGCTTATAGATCCTATTTACTTGCCTACAACTCACATTCTATGAAAGATATTTTTAATGTTCACCAACTTGATCTTCAGGTATTTTATTCTTTTCCTGTGTTTTTACTTGCGAATTACTCTTTGGTGGAATTGTTTCTTTACATTCTCGTGTAAGTCTGCGTCTGGTGTCATTATTCGACTCATTCTCAGATAAAACATTCTGTTATTTAGGATAGCCCTTGGATTTTTTTGGCCTTGGATGACATTATGGGTTCTTAACTTCCTGTTCTGGATCAAATTAAGCTGTACCTTTCCTTTTTTTTTTTTTTTTGGCCTAATGAGTGCTGGGTTTATGACATTCTAGAAATTAGGCAGTACATATGTATAGCATGCTTGAATGTTTTAATTTTAAGGGCCCGTTTGGCATTGCGGTAGCTTATTGAAAGTACTTTCCTAGTAGACCTTTTAATAAAAGTACTTATTAACTGCTCAAGTGCTTTTAAATATATTGTTTGGTGACATAGTTCAATAAGTATTATTGTTTAAGATAATGTGTAATTTGAAAATTTTTGAAAGTGTTTTATCTCTCTATTTGGTTCATAATATAGGATAAAACGATTAAATTTGATGTTTTATTTTTTTAATCACAAAAGCTACTCTAAAAGCACCACATTTGGGTTTTTGCTAAAAGTGCTTTTAAGATCAAAAGCTCTATTCCTAATTTTATGAGATGATGTTCACCAAACACTTTTAAAAGCACTTTTAGTACTCTTAACACCTAAAAGTGCTTTTATACCAAAACCACCGCAACCCCAAAGGGGACTTAAATCCTTCACTTTTCCTTTCTTGGTTTTCCCTTTTTCCTCTGATCTTTCAGATGTTGGATGGAAACCAACCTCTACAATTGTAGATTTGGATGCTTTTGTCGTTGTACGTATAGATTTGGATTGCAGACTTTGTACTAGATGGATGATGCAGAATACGATCTGGATTGTATTTTTGAGTTCTATAAGAATACTTTGATGCTGCGTCGTCAAAATCTAGTTAATCCTTTTGTCTTTTGCAGGGTGTGGCTGCTTCATTTTGTTTCTCTTCTCCTCCAAAGGTAAATTTGAATATAGACAGTAATGCTTCCAAGTTTCGGAAGAAAATGCGTACCCGAAATGGGTTTAGTGCGAGCAACCCGTACGGGAGGAAGAGTGAAGGCGATGTACGACAGTTTGTCAGATATTAACAACATGTCCGACGTCTTACTACAGCAGCAGCAGCAGCCTTGGACGCATCGCGCCAATTTTGTAGTGTCATGTTAGTTGAGTTTTTATTTGTGAGCCATAATGGTTAGTTTTGTGTTGAATACAAAGAAGTGTGTTGTTGTTCAAGGTCACATATCTTTGTGTTAAATACTTTGGTTTATTCTAATTATCTTTTCTTACAATATATTTTTAGCGCTTTTCCATTTTGGGAGGAAAAACACTTGAAATGCTCTGTTCCATATTCCATTGAACGGTTGATTTCATCTGAAATGCACTTTGTTAATTAGGGTGCCAAATTGGTCTCATCATTCCATGCTTGTGTTTTCGTAATATCAATAATAATACATAAAAATAAAATCCAATGTATGATCTTATGCTTTACCATGTCATCATCATTATTATTGATCAATTCGATTGTACATGTCTATATATGTTTTTTTTTTTTTTGATTAAAAGTTGAGACCATTGCATATAATCAATAGTAATTACTCAATAATATTTTAGTTCTAACTAAAATGTAATGATGTAACTTATTCTGTGATGCCAAACTATACATACATAGTAGACAAATATTAACATCACATATGTGAAGACCATGGATGGAATTGATACTTTAGACGTTTATGATCTCAACTAAGTATGTAGAGGATGTAATTTACAATATAAAATTCTACCGCGGTAATAGTGGGATATTACTATCTATTAAGAATTAAAAAGAACAAGAGGAAAGAATTTGATCATCATATTACTGGAAGGCATAAATTAGTGCTCATGATTAACTGCGTCAAATTCTTAATTTCCTTTTGGAGTTATATAATTACTGTAAAAACACCTAGGAATGATGATCAGCATGGATAATTATGTCCAATTTCTTATCCATATGCCTATGAAATGCATGATTGCAAAGGGCGAAAAAAGAAGAAAAAATTCTCTAAACAAAGAATAACATGTAGGCATTTGACTTTTAAGTTTATACAATATGATATCTTTTAATGATAAAGACATCTTTAGGCTTTTAACAATTTCTAAAAAGGTTAAAAGGTCATTTGTTGTACCACTATGGCACTATCTAAAGCAAAGATTCTCAGTCAGTCCACGGTGATTGGATATCATCTACCGTCGATCTGGATGACCATTCTCCACATCTACTCAGGATCATATCTTCTATAGGTATCCTTCTCGAAGTGTTCATCAAGCATGATGCAGTTGAGGTACACCAACAGTTAAAATACCCTTTGCTTTCTCGTTGAAGCACAAATAAAGAAAAGGAAAATATTAAATGGACCCCATGATTCTTGCTAACTGACCGTTTTGGGGGTTCTGACCGTTGCAAACACCCAATTGAAAAATTCAAAAAAAGGCCCACCCAATTTTTATTTCTACCAGGAACACATGCAAAAGCTGACAAGTAAAATAAATTCTTATGTGGTGTGTAAAAAGTAAAAAATTAGACTGCCCCTACAGTACCCTTTTGTTGTTAACCGTTAATTTTTCTCCAATCAACGGCTGTGATTTTTTCTCCAAGAACCTGCCTAAATTACGCACAAACCTTGCATCTATCCGAGTTTTTCCCCCCCTTTGCTCACTTCAACTGTTACAGCTGCTGCTACTGCATTTTCATCCCCCCAATTTTCATAACAAGATCGGAACTTTCTTGAAATTCAAGCAGTTTCAGCACAAGGGTCATCAAGAAAATCTCAGGGGCATGTTTGGATTGAAAGATTGTTAGCTAGAATGCCAGTGTCCACAAGGTCTAAGGCTGTATTCAATCAAGTGCAGGATGACCCAAATCAAGGCCAAACAACCAGGGCAAGAAATGATCAAGAAGAATCCCAGATGGCTAATCAGATGAGGAATCCACATCATGGTCTAAAGGAGAAGATGAAAGCATTGACCCTCTTGTATGAACAGCAAAAACAAGCTTCAAATGCTCTCAAGAACCCTGCTTTAAAGCATGAGGAGCCAAGATTTTCAACTCACCCCAGCATAGACCTCCTCAGTTCTGGCAAAAGAAATGATAATGAACCGAAGGAATCCAAAGAATCAAGGCCCATAAGTCATGTGATGAGGGAGAACGTAATGCCTAGTTCAACCGTGACTAGGAATTTTGTGATGCCACAGCCTTTAGGGGTGGAGGAGGCAAAGGAGAATGTTGCGGTGGGACATGGCGGTGATCAGATTGTGGGGCTTTCATGTCCCAGAAAGACAAATGTATCGAGTACCGTGGCCAGAAAGCTGTCAATGGGCAGCTCTGTGATGCCATTTTCAGAGCCGCCTAGAGGGTACCAAAAGGCGAATGAACAAGAAGTAGAGACGATTACCGAGAGACAAGGGAGTGTTGGTGGTGGGAATGGGAGCAGAATTCTTGTTTTTGTGAGGTTAAGGCCAATGGGGAAAAGGGAAAGAGAAGCTGGATCAAGATGTTGTGTGAGGATTGTGAATAAGAGGGATGTTTATCTGACTGAATTCGCCACTGAGAACGATTATCTCAGGCTAAAGAGGCTTAGGGGTCGTCATTTCACTTTTGATGCCTCATTTCCTGATTCCACTACTCAACAAGAAGTTTATTTTACGACGTGAGTTCGATAATACTTCCATTTTTGTTTTCATTAACTTGTTAAATGGCTTTTTTCCCCTTCTTCATGTTTGGCTGGATTTGGATTTTCAATTTTCTTGTGGACAATTTTGGAGAATACTATAGTTTGCTGGCTTTTTTTTTTGTGGCTTCCTGTGTCTTTATAGTAGGATCCACATTGAGCAAGCACTACAGTAGCCAATCTAGCAGTTACTATGTTGTGCATTTCATAAAGGTAACTTGGTTCTGACTGAGAGTAGCAATAGTGATAGCTCTTTGAATCCCTAAGATTCTATTATTGATTTTGAGTTCTTACCTCACATCTTAAAGTCTCGTTCCTAGCTAAACTTGTTCCTTCTATTATTGGTAAAATATTCAGCTTCCAGAACTCTTATGTAGAAACATAACCAGGATAAAAAGCTAGGACTAAGTTAGATGATAGTTATAGCCAGAAGTATTCCTCACTTTACCTTCTTAAGCTTAAAAGGAAGATAGCTTAGTGAGATGGTTGATCATCTATTACTGGTAAATTTTCAGAACAGCAGAGCTAGTGGAAGCAGTTTTGCAGGGTAAAAATGGATCTGTCTTCTGCTATGGTGCCACAGGAGCTGGAAAGACATACACGATGCTAGGTACAGTAGAGAATCCAGGTGTAATGGTCTTGGCAATTAAGGATCTCTTCAACAAGATAAGGCAAAGAAGCTTTGATGGAAACCACCTTGTTCACCTGTCTTATCTTGAGGTATACAATGAAACCGTGAGAGATTTGCTTTCTCCTGGAAGGCCTTTGGTCCTTCGAGAAGATAAAAATGTAAGTACCTAGTTAAAATCTACAAGATTTTCTGGTAATGAGTCCATTTAATATCATGCATAAGGGTTTATTATCTCTTTTTTCTTTCAAGTTAATTATGGTAATTATTGTATCCTTCATTTTATCGTCATTGAATTGGTGAAAATTACAATAGTAGTTATGTTGGTACCTTCTGTTTAAGATGGTGATTGTTTCCTTTCTGCCAAATTTTCCTCATGAGGCAGACATTTGAGTATAAAAACATTTCCTGTAGATTGGTTCAAAATAATTAACCAACCTGAAGGTACAAATAAGCAAAAAATTTGCTGGAACTACAAATGCATAGAATCATCCTTCTTTTATTGTGTTCTGAGTTTGTCAGCTAATTTCAAGTACTAAAATTGCTGAATTTACATCCATTTGAAATCAAGCTTGCAGCTTTTGTGTTGCCAATCATTGTGAACAGCATTTTAAAGGCTCAACAATCTAGCATATGCTTTTGTGTAATCATGTAAAACTTGCCATGAAAACATACTAGTATGCCAAATTTCTATTTAATACATGATTTTAGTATCCTGGTGCAAAATTCAATTACTTTCTGGAGAAATGATTTACTGCCTTTACTAAAATTCTAGGGGATCGTGGCTGCTGGGCTAACTCAATATAGAGCATACTCCACAGATGAAGTAATTTCCTAAACTCCTTTAAATTAGTAGAAGATCAAATTTCTACTTCATCAAAGAACTACAATCAGACCGTTTTGCTGTTTAATAGGTAATGGCTTTACTCCAACAAGGGAACCAAAATCGAACAACTGAACCTACCCGTGCGAATGAAACTTCATCAAGGTCTCATGCTATTCTTCAGGTAGTTGCGTTTCTACCTTCCATTTAAATCTTATGCTTCTTCTATTTCCTGACCGTTTTCCGCAATTAATATTACACTCAGGTTATGATTGAATACAAAGTCAAAGATGCTGCCAATAATATTGTCAGTAGAGTTGGTAAACTTTCGCTTATTGATCTTGCCGGTTCAGAAAGAGCTCTTGCAACAGATCAGAGAACACTCAGATCACTTGAGGGTGCAAACATTAATAGATCACTTCTTGCACTAAGTAGCTGCATAAATGCCCTGGTTGAGGGAAAGAAGCATATCCCATATCGGAATTCCAAGCTCACCCAACTGCTCAAGGATTCTCTAGGTGGAGCTTGTAATACTGTGATGATTGCAAATATCAGCCCAAGTAATCTCTCATTTGGTGAGACACAAAACACCCTTCACTGGGCTGATCGGGCTAAAGAAATTCGGACAAAGGTGTTTACTTTGATTCCTTGGTCTTTTGTCCTTTATGAATTATTTCTTTATATCATCTGTTAATGAAACATGAGGCTGTACCTTTTCATCAGGCCAGCTAAATGTTTTGTGTATTAGTGCACCTACCAAATGCATTGACTTTCAATTGATCAAGTATGTACTGGTTTCGTAGATTAAGCCATATTTTCTTTGTCAATGGTCTTGGCTTCTGATCAACTGCATAAATTTGTCATTATGTTTGTTACTTTGTTATTTAGATTTCCATCCTCCCGTTATTATTGTTCTTCTTTTTCTCCTGTTCAAAATAAATTGAACTTCCATTCCTGGCAGTAGGTTTTGTTAAATTTTTTTCATTTTTTCTGGGATCATGTATCTTAGTTTTGAAGAAAACTTTGAATATTCATCAAATTATTGCTAATACTTCCAGGTAGTCTACCTGATTATCAGTTGCCTCTGTTTCAAGGATCAAAATCACAGTTTTTATATTTGCAGGCTTGTGATGCCAATGAAGAAATTCAAGTACCTGATTCAGAAACAGATCAGGCCAA